GTGTCTGCCCTGCTCCCAGCTTCCTGTGCTATCTCAGAGTTCTTCCTTTGATTATCCCACAGCTAATCTGGCTTCTTGAGAAGATGCCGAGTAGACAAGCAGTCAACCCTGCAGAGACATTAAAAACTGCCGATTCTACACACCAACTGAAATTAAGCAGGTGACCACAAACAAAGAAAAACGTTCTGCGTTCACACAGCACTGTCACCCCCCAGAGTCCTTCGGTACACACAACACTGGCATCATATGATCTGAACAAGAACTCTGCAAAACGGACAGGGAAAACTCACTACTACAGCAAACAACACACACGGAAGTCACAGAACTCATTAGTGGCAGGGCGCAACCTCTCTGTTTCAGTGCTTTTTCCCCTAAGCTGTCCTTTCCTATTTGGGGGTGGGGGAGTTATTAGTATAAGGGGAAAGCCTGCTCAGCTCACTTTCCTTACCACCAAGGCCACAGTCGCCTAATAACATTATGGGTTGTTAACGATAATCCTGACCACCGTTGTCTATGCTGGACAGCTCCCCAAAACCACGTGGACAGTTCCAAATGGTTTGGGAAACTTGGGAATGAAGAGTATTTTCTTTTCCATCAAAAGTCACTAAAAGAGGAAAAAGACCTCAAGTTAAGAACTTACAAACATTGAGTGTGTGTACTGCATACAGGTCAGCATGTTTTGAAAGGTGGGGCTAGAGAAAGAAACATATTAGCAAGGAACTTCTGATCCCACTTAATGACTTGATGTTTCTCTCATTTATGATTTAAAGATGCTTCCAATTCCAAGGGAGATGCAAATTAAAACCACAATGAGATACCACCTCACCCCAGTGAGAATGGCACATCTTCAAACAACTAGCAACAACAAATGTTGGTGAGGATGGGGAGAAAAAGGAACTCTCCTGCACGCTGGTGGGAATGCAAACTAGTACAACCACTATGGAAAACTGCTTGGAGGTTCCTCAAACTGCTAAACATGGAGCTTCCCTACGACCCAGCCATCCCACTCCTAGGTATCTACCCAAAAGACACAAAAACACTGATTGAAAAAGATACCTGTACCCCCATGTTTATCGCTGCTTTATTTACAATTGGAAAAACATGGAAGCAGCACAAATGCCCAAAAGTAGATGACTGGATTAGAAAGATGTGGTACATATACACAATGGAATATTACTCAGCAACCAAAAAAGAGAAACACATGTCTTTTGCAGCAACTTGGATGGAGCTGGAAAAGATCATGCTTAGTGAGATAAGCCAGAAAGAGAAAGAAAAATACCGAATGGTTTCGCTCATAGCAGGAGTATAATGGACCAGGCGAGAAAATAACAAAAATAATGAACAACCATATATCAGAGACATTTTGTGGGGGTAGAGTGGGGAATGGGATTAAAAATGGGGGGGCAGGGAGGGAAATGCACGGGGTTATGGTGATGGCACATGGGTGATTTGGTGATGGGAAACCCGCGGGGATGACAATCAAGATGAAAAAAAAAAATGTGCAAAATGATGTAAAAATAAACTTTTGTAATAATTTTTAAAAATATATTAATAAAAAAAAAAAGATGCTTCCAATTCCAAAGCAGTCTGGCCCGCGAATCCTCTCCACATCAGGTAACCCACCCCCGGGCTGGCGGTGAGTACGTCAGCCTGAGGTCGCCCAGACTGTGGGGCCCCTCCCCTGCGGCACCCCAACCCACTCCCAGGTACTCTTCTGCTCCAGGCCCGCCTTCCAGCTCACCCAACCTCCGAACAGGCACAGCCCCTGCTCTGGGCCTGCTGAAGGACACCACGCCTAGGAGGGCGTCTTTCCCCTTCACGCGCCCGACCACGTGAACACCCCGGAACACGCTGGACTTGTTCCTCGCTCTCAGCGAGAGCTGGCGGACACTCACCCAGGGCTCCTGTGAGGTTCCAAGGACCCTGGCTCCCACCTGAGGGTGTGCTGGCCGCTGTCTGGAATCGGCTCGCACACTGCCTGAGGAGACAGCCGTGCCACAGCGATCCCCGCGCCCTGACTCCGGGCCCCCCAGACCCTCGGCGCGCCTGTGTGAGCGCTCTCCTGGGATGGCGCTGTGCAGACAGCAGCAGCCTCGTCCGGGTCCCCTGGGCAGGGCTGAGGAGGGGGTGGCAGCAGCTCCCCGGCCAACAGCCGAAGCCCCAGAGCCCACAACTGGGATGCACATTCGTCCGGAGCAAATACATGGGCTTTCTAGTAAGGGTTATTTGGAAATGGAATCTGGGGGTTGGGGAGGGTTCTTGTTTTCAAAGTGAAGTTGCCTTGCAGGGTAAGATATAAGCCTCAACTGCACGTCACGAGGAGCAGTGTGCGCGTACCCCATCAAGTTCACTACCCGTGTACCCCCCCAAGTTCACCGCGGAATCCAGTCTCTCCTTGGCCCTAAGTGTCCCTTTGTCCCATCTCCTCAGCTCCCACCGCTCTCCCACAGGTGTTTGCAAAAGAATTAGCACTTGGCCCTCCCTGGGGGCGCAACAGGGTACAGCACAGCACTGGGAAGCTGAAGCCACTTCTGCATGAGTTCGATCCCCGCCTGCCCCAGGGGTGACCACAGGGCGCGGCAGACCTCTCCTGACCCGCCCGCTGCTCCCCTCGGCAGTGGACTTCGGCAGTGGACTTCGTCCATCTGCCTGTTCTGCTACATCATTTTGCACATTTTTTTTTTCATCTCGATTGTCATCCCCGCGGTGTTCGGTCTCTGGCCTGTACCCCAGTTCTGAATGCATAAATAAATAAATAAATCTTAAAAAAAAAAGAGTTAGCACTTGCAGGTCACCTACTGTGGGCCATACATCCTGCTGGCTACATCAGCAACCTTTCATTCCCCGAACAGCCCTTCCGGGTACCTTTACTATTTCTGCCTGTCCACAATCGAAGAAGCCAAGGGCCAGGAATGATAAGTGACGTGTCCAGAGTCTGCCAGTGGCTCCCGGTCGCACCAAAAGCTGAGCTGAACAGTGCAAGTTCCTTTTCAGTTGCTTCCAACCACCCCATTTGCTTTCTAGAGCAGTTTTAAGACTGATGACAGGAGAAACGAAGGTAGGAAGGTACTCCTACCTTCACTTTCTGTAAGAAAATAAATGACTTTAGGGCCCTCCCTGGTGGTGCAAGTGCAGCACTGCAAGCTGGCTGCAGCTGCTTCAGCACGAGTTCGATCCCCGCCCCGGGGGTGACCCACAGGGCGCGGCACACCTCTCCTGACCCTGTTCCTCTCAGCATGTGCTTCATCGATCTGCCTGTTCTGCTCCCCACTCTGACTGGTAAATCCTCTCACCACCCCTGCACCTCTGGCCTGTACCCCAGTTCTGTATGCATAAATAGATAAATCTTTAAAAAAAGAAAAAAAATTACTTTAATACACCGCAGGGAGACCATGCCTGGAACCAAATTCCTGAATGAACCAATACTCACCTCCACCCACCCCAGCCTGCCAGCCGACCGCAGGCCTCCCTTGCAGTCAGGCCCCACGTACTCATCCAGAGGAGAGCAGGAAATGTTTTGTTCAGCCTCTACAGCAGTTTCAAATATTTGGAGTCTATAAGCTACCCTCCACATTTCAAAACCTGTGAATAATGACACTTCTACCAGCTCTCCCAGAGATGTGTCAGTCTCTGTGGAAGTAACGAACCTCTGAGCTTTACCATAAAATGAAGAATTCCAAAGCACACAGGCTGCTTCCATTTGCGGAAAGCGCTGTCGTAGAGAGTGAAGACGAAGCACGAAACAGCCTCTGACCCGCGTGTGCCCGGTGGGCTCGTTTACCCGACGGGGTTACCGAACCCCCACCTGTGCAGCGCGCTGGCCTGTGCCCAGCACGCAGGCACCCGTTCCCATTGGTGCCTCACAGAGCCGGGAAGTGCCGCTGCTCACGCGCAGAAACGAAAGAAAGCAGAGTGCATGTAACTTGCCCAAGTATGGTGGCGAGAAAGCGGCGGCACCCGAACCAAGCAGGTTTCCCAGCTCCGAGGCCTGCACCCCACTGCCGCCCGCTCTGCTTGTCCCCAACTCCACTCCCCAACTCCAGCCATTTAAACCGACCGCTAACGGTACCCACGAATGTGTCGTAACTTCCCAAGTCGTTCAAAAGAGCCTGAAGAAGGACCCTTCCAAAACGTCATGTGAGGCCACAAATTTTCATCAAATACTGAGAGGTCAGGACAAGATAACTCACAGAACAAAAGCTTTTTTGTTGTTTGGGCGTGAGCATTCGTAAATGGACTGAAAGTGATAAAACCAGGAAATCATTTTAAGCATTTGAGAAAATTCAATTAGTGGAAACCATGGACTTCAAAGTTGAACAAAAGAACACGATTTTTCAAAATCACCTTCCTCTCACTACTTACTGACATGATTGTGAGGACTATTATAGTCTGCTCTGAATCTAAAATTTTATTATCAGCCAAATGACAGAAAAGATACATATCCTATCAAAACGCTAACAATTTCAAACTTCTGAATGGCTATTATCCCTCACGTTCCAAGTTTTTTTTATATAACTATAAGTTCTTAAAAAAAGTCAAGGTCGGGCCCTCCCTGGTGGTGCAGCGGGTTAAAGCACAGCACAAAGAAGCTAAAGCCTCTTCTGCATGAGTTCGATTCCCGCCTGCCCCGGAGGAGACCCCATGGCGTGGCAGACCTCTCCTGACCCACCCGCTGCTCCCCTCAGCAGTGTACTTCGTCGATCTGCCTGTTCTGCTCCCCACTCTGTCTCTGGTGAAGCCGACCCTGAGCTTCTGGCCTGTACCCCAGTTCTGTATGCACAAATAAATAAATCTTAAAAAAAAAAAAGTCAAGGTCATATTCTCTAGTGAGATTTCTTCAATCTATTAGAATTTGCCCCTCAGTACTTAATGTTCTAGTACAAGAGGTAGTGAAAAATAACCTATTCTTTCCGTGTTGTTTATCAGAAACACACTTTAGCATCGTAACAGGACAACAGAATCATTGTCTGAGACTCCTCCAAGAATAAATCCAGCCTTACCTCCATCGCTAAAGCTGCTGTCTGTTGGTCATAGTGATTCAGAAGGTTAGGCATGAAGGTAGTGTTATAAGGCAGATCCTGGCACATCCTCAAGGTAATAGGTTCACAAGAAAACAAGCTGTGCCCATCTATGTACCCCACAAGCACAGTCAAGGGCCAAAGAGAGAAGACGATCCAGTTCGTGGCCATCCTTCCTGGATCTGGCCGAGACTCTGATGATCAGCCTCTCGATGAGTGCAGCACACCTGTGCACACCTGCACACCTCGGCACACCTGCAGCTCTCTGCTTGAAGAAAGCACCTCTTCTCTAGCGCAGTGTTGCAGGCTTCAAACAGCTGGATACTGCGCCCCGTCAGAGGTCTGGCAGCTGGGTCTCACAAAAGGCATTTGTCTTCTGTTTCACAATAGGGGAAACTGACATCATCTTGTCTCTTCTCCATTTTATGGCACAGGCACAGGAGGCCGACACACCGAGCTGATCAGCCACATTCCCAAACAACAGATTCCATCTTAGGAGAAGAGCTAATTCTTCCTTTGATTGAAATATCTGCAAAGCATTTTTTAGAAATGAGAGAAATTAGTCGTTTCCTCTCAAAATATTAGGGACTTGATATTAAAATCACTGATGAACTTCAGAAAATTGAGGAACTCAAGCTCAATACACAGAAAGCAGCTGCTTTTCTATCCACTGACTACTCGGGATTTTGTGGTTTAGAGACACTTAAAGGCAAATCCTCCCTCAGCTGTCTAATAACACACCGATTAACTTCTTGTCTATGACTCAGTATTAAATTTGCCACAAGGTATAACTGATACATTTTTGCTACTGCCCTAAAGACCATCTAAACATCTGACATTTATCACCTAAGCCCCTGGGCTTCAGAGTTATCGCATGTGCTTGAACATTAGTTGTGGATTTTTACATTCACTATTAGGCAGGTGAAATACCACTAAATCAAAAAGTATGAAGACACACTTCTCAGCAGTTGTGTGAGAATTCTGAATTCAGAATTCAGAATTTTTCATCCTAAAAACATCACTTCTCTATCACGATGGTACGAGTGACTTGGGGGGTCACACAGGTAGGCGAACATGAGGTGGCTTTGTGACTGAAGTGTAGCCGACACAGAGGACACTTTCATCCACCAAGACGGAACTGGCAAGTGGCAACTCCTACAGCACCTCTGCCCAACACTACAGCATCTCTTTGGACAGCGTTTGTTTGTTACCAGGGAACTGAAACCGCCCCTAAAAAGTCACAGCAACCATGGGCAGCATCCCCAGTAATTGTTCCCACTGGGCCTTAGAATCTCTCCCTTGCCCCACCTTTTGCACGGTAAAAATGTATGTCTCTGGTGCGGCTGGGCGCATGCTGGAGTAGAAGATCGGTCTAAGTTAGCACACTTTCATTTGCTTCTGTGATTTTATTAATCTGCTTTTATTTCATACGCACTGGATATTTTTGTGTTTGCTAGAGAAAAGCCTAAGTTGGGAGAGAATCAGAAGTTCAGGTTGGAAGTTCTCAGGGACTCAGGCTAACGCTGGGCCCACACAGCTTCTCCGGAGCCCTGGGTCTGGCCCGGCCCCAGCAGAGCAAGACGCGTCCTTCCCGCACGGACCGTCCGTGACCCAACTTCTGCAATCTAATAGGTTCTCACTCAGCAGAGAGCACCACTGGCAGACACCAAATCAGTTGCTGAATTTTCCCAGTTCACCCCCCACCCCC